ATCGTCACGTACTTTTCACCCAATAGATCGGCGTACATTTAAATCACCCCACCCCATCCTATCAAATAAAATTTTGATTAGTAAAGCCTATACGCTAGCGGAATGGATATATACGAAAGTAATGCGTCATTGTTAAAGATGTAATAAAGAAGTAATAACAAACAGCAGTGTTGAAATGAAAGACAAACATATTTTCGGCCAAAACGCGAAAGCCAGATAATTTTGAGAGTAAAAATCACTTCGGTGTGTTGGTAGGGTGGTAACAGTAAAGAATTCACTGAAGTGATAGTGAATTGTGACGTGTTTTTTAACATAGAGACACCAGAATGGATCGAATCAGGACTCAGTCATGAGATGCATGCGAGCGCATCTTGATCAAGTGCCAGGGCTCAAGAACTTACAAGGACACCCAAGGGCCACTTTTACGCGGACAGGTTACTCACATACATGCTAAACCGGATATTTTTAGCTGCCGTATCATTAATGTTGATTATTTCTAAAAGCTTATAGAAAACCGTGGGGTCCTTTTCAGTGAAACATCTCACCGATCCCAAAAGTGTAGTCACCATACCGTAAACGAAGGGCTAGTATAAACTTGAGACGCTTTAGTGATGTCTTCCTGTTGGTCTCCGATTGATGTACCATGATAACAGTTTCTGCGATGGAGTGCAAATATGTCTGTATTGTACTGCCTAACTTTTGCAAGCACTGAGGTTTATGTTTCAGTTAAAAAGTCATGCACACCGACCGTCACAAAGTACATAATCAACTGGTGCAAAATTTGTATAGACATGGGGATATTTTACAATCCAAGGTTAAGACAAAGTTCACTTATTGCCCTCTCCTTGTTTGTTAGTAAACGAGCAAGATACGGCATAGATGAATTTCGATAAGCGATAATTCGAGATGAAATTTGGCGAAATTAGGAGCATATGGAATGATCAGGACATGTCAGTTCTGCGTGCAATGGGTGGTCAGGATATGTGAGAATCCTCCGCAGATTTCACATAGAAAGTTCCGTGATACTATGAAAAATTTACAGTGAACTCATTCACAGGAATAGCAGAGACGCGGCTAATAATAGACTGTGTTGTAAGACTTTGAAATCCTGTTTGAGTAAATCAGGAAAAATAACTGGGGAACAGCAAAATAAGATGGGGAAACACACTATTAAACAAAAGTATAAATAGAACAAGGAGTGGCAAACAAGCTCGTTTCAGTTTTTCATAGTCATGCCAAATACATCACAATAAATACTACACTGTTTATATATGAATCAGTATTCAACCATAAAAACGCAAACAATTGTTTCGGGAAAGGAAAAATAACCTCATGGGTTATCTGGGGCTAATTTTGTCTTGGGACCGGATGTGGAATTCTCAATGATCACATAAAAATCAGAGCAGGTTCGATGTCGTATACTAGCGGTAGGAATTTGTCTACACGACCCACCTCTGCGTGCCTAAAAACAATTTGTGCAGACGCTTAAGCTCCCCTGGACCACCACACCCCCATATTCCGAGTGGTTCCAACGATCGGACGACCTAACAATCATGTGATCATTGAGAATTCCACATCCGGTCCCAAGACAAAATTAGCCCCAGATAACCCATGAGGTTATTTTCCCTTTCCCAAAACAATTGTTTGCGTTTTTATGGTTGAATACTGATTTATATATAAACAGTGTAATATTTATTGTGGATGTATTGGATGACTACAAGTAACTGAAACGAGCTTGTTCGCCTCTCCTTGTTCTATTTGAAATGTGCTCTGTGGGACGGTTTAGAAAAGAGTAGAAATAATTGACTGAGATGCGCGAAACTGCCTGAGATTTCGAATTTGAAATAATATGCTTCGAAGTTTACCAATGCAGTTTTGGATGTGGGTTGACCAATAAAGATTGCTAGTATGATTACACCAAGATATTTGACAGAGTTCACTTTAGATATAGGATTTTTATTAATCACTGTGGGGTATGTCGGATATGGAGAGCGAGAAAAACTATGTTAACGCTCAACACATTTACTTGGGTTTAAGGTCAGCCCCGTTGGGGAGGAGAATAACTGATATTGACCAAGAGTTTTGGTGAAGAAGCTTAGATTGGAGTGAGGTTGGAACAACACATCATCTGCATATTTCAAAATAGATGCAAGAGAAACAGAAATATCGCAAATATAAGTAAGTATGGCTATCGTACAGCTCCTTGAAAAACTCCGGAGTTGTTGACTAAGGGTTCAGATGAGGTCTTCCTCCATCTAAAGGTTTGTCCTCTATCAGTAAAATAGTTCAATAGCCAAGCCAAAAGTTGCTTGAGACATTCAAACGATTTCATTTTTTGAAACAACTTAGATCGAGAAATGGAATCAAATGCTAAAGAGTAGTCAAGAAAATAAACCAAAAAGACTTAACAGAGTTGTTCAAAGGCTTAGTGACGGGACGAATAAGGATGAACACTACGTCCAAGGTACATCTATTAGGCTTGTAAACAAACTATAGAGGATCACTAAGAATTTTTGTAAACGGGATGAAGGTGTTTAAGGCTAGACTTTTCAGTCAACTTAAAAGCTGAAGATGTCAACTCTATGGGAAGAAAACGTATAAAGAAGATACAAGATTAGGATGCTTTGGGGATTGGTGTTATTCTGATCGGCCTACAACAGTCGGGGATAGTAGAAGTGTAAAGAGATTCATTTGTAATGTGGGTGATTGCCCCAGCTAGGGAGGCCGCACCAAATTTGAAAACGGCTGGAGGTAAATCATGCGGGCTTGCCTCATCATCGTCATCAGCAGCAGCAGCAGCAGCATCATTGTACAGCATAACACAGTGAAGCAAACTTCACTTATCACTGCCAAAATCATATCGCATAAAAGGTAAGTGAGAATGTGTAAGGAGGTTAGGGATTGGACTTGATTTTAAGCACGGGAAAAGAAAGCGAACCTCTATGGTGAAAACAAAAAGTAAACCGTCCGGCTGTGCAAACATACTATTTCAAGCATTTTGGTCTGATAAAAATCGACCGCAAGCTCACCATTGCTGTCGATTCGCAGCTATGACCTTTCGTGTCTTCAACCATGCGGTTTTGGAGTCTTTTGGCCCCCAACCCGGAAGACGAGAGGCACCAACTCTACCTAATTGCTCAATAAATTTCTTCATGCCTCGAATCCACTTCATCTGCTGACCTTCATGTAACTTTTTTCAGTCTGCAACAGCCACTACAAACCGCGGTGTGGTAGACGACCGTCGGACATACGCAAAACTTGACCTAACCAACGAAGCCTGTTGAGCTAAATTCGAAGCCCTAGCGAGATTTTGTTTGAGGTAATCCCCAAAACCCGACGACTTACTTTTGAGTTACTAACCCGCTCATTCCATCCCAATCGGGCCAGGCTACGCAAGCATCGGTTGTCGAAAACCACTAGGTGACGGATGTCTTCTACCAGCAAATTCAAGGTCTAACAACCGTAAAACAGAGCTGATCGCACAGTTGCGCAGTATACGCAACTTTTCAACTTCAATGAAACACCACGTCGTCTCCGCAGGTGTTTAAGTCCTGTGTACGCTGCTCGAGCCTTGGAAATGTGGGTGGTTATCTATTTTGATGCGCTGTCGTCGTTGATCACGCAGCTACCCGAGTACGAAAAGCAGTCAATTTCAGTTAATTCTTGACCGTCTAATTTTAGAGCAGAACTTAGCAACACCCAGTCTTGTAGCATCACTTTGCACTTTGAAGGTGCAAAGCGCATGCCGAACGGAGCGACAGAATTTGCTAATTTGTCAAGTGCTCTTTGTGCATCCTTCATACATTTGAACTAGCAGATGTCGTCAGTGTACTCCAAATCACAGTTTTTCACCAGCTCCCCATTAAATACCTTGGAGACCACTTAATGCGTTCTCCAACATTTCGTCTATGACGAAATTGAACAGGAATAGCGAAATAGGGTACCCTTGACGAACACTGCTGCTAGTTACGACCGACCTACTCAGCTCGCCGTAGAGCCTTGTGATACCAGATGTATGCGAGTAGAGTAAACTCAGTAAGTTTTTAAACGTACTTCTGCGGCATTCCTTTGCGAAGGAGAGAACCCATAAGGGATTCGCGATTGGCTGAGTGGAAGACTCCTTTTAGGTCAAGGAAGNGGTCGACCGTGTGAATGGTGTAGCTCGAGGACTTGACGTAGAGTGAATATTTGATCAATAGAGAACCTCGACCTGGTCGAAATCCTGCTTTTTATTCGTGGACGTTTGTCACCCTAAACGCTGTCAGACGTCGAAGTGTGATGAAGGCTAGTAACTTGGTGACGATTGGGATCAAACTTATTCCACGATGGTTTGCGCAGCCGTTGCGAGATCCCTTCTTAAAAATTGGAACGATCAGTGGTTCACCCCAGGATGATGGAATGCGCTGGTGTGACCATATGTTACGCATTACATCAGTAATGGAGGTCATCGTTCCCCATCTTGAAGAGTGGGAGGAAGCCCGTCCGGTCCTGTTGCTTTTCCTTCCTTCAGGGCTTGGATGCAAGAACGAACTTCTGCTGCATTAGGACGTTTAGATGAATGCCCACGGAGCCTCAGCGGTACCGGAGGAGATAGTCTGGTTAGCGCCTGGCCAGCTGAACTGTTCGGTGAAGTACTCCACCCACCGGTCAAGCCGTTGTTAGCGTAGTAGTTGAATTTGATCCCCACGTTGCTGCCTATTTAGAGCTGTGTCGGAAGTTGGTGCCTGCAGCAGAAGACAAATTGCAACTAATTAAAAGATTTACCACATCACAATTTGAATGTTGTTCCACATTACAAACATTATGTGACGATTAGGCAGGAAAAATGTCCGAAGGCTGGCGCAGGAGTGTTAAGTTGAAATCATCAACATCCATATCCAGCTTTGACCCTACTTTTGTCCTTCCACAAAGGTATCTGATATCTTGCTGCAGGTGTTTGTTGTTGGAAGTTGTCAGAATTGGATTGGAGAACAATGCGTTTAATCCATTTACTTTGTCTTTGTTAAGCCTGGACAAATACCTAACAGCCGAGGCATTGTGAAATTTGTAAGAATTTTCCTTTTATCGTCGCAGCTACTTTAGTAAGGGAGAGTTTTTCCGTTGGACACAGGTTTTGAACAGGGTAGCAGTAATTAGAAATTGCAATGGTTGAAAATAAAGAAGTCAAATGAAAGCAAAATGTGTGATGCTTTCCAGCAAACATGCATACACATATATAGTTCATTGTTGAGCCATAAATACACATCCTGGTTCGAAAATACAGCCCCAGTTAGTCTGTATCATCAGCAAAAGGCACGGTACCACATCACAATTCGAGCATATTAGGCAGCCCATACATTCGCCGCACACGAGATAGTACTCAACTGTTTTCCTGAGCCGAGATTGTATATGCGTGAATGTTTCATAAGACTAAAAAGTCGTTTTGATTAACTGAATATATTCACTTTCTGATGAGATTTGGTTCAAATAGGCTAAAATAAGGGTTCATCGGTTCTGGGTCTGTTAATTATAAAATTATTCTTAAATCATGCGCCAATTAGGTGGAGTCTTGACTCATGACTTTATTTATGCTACTTTAATCTATTGAAGGCAGCTGAAGAATAATACATTCATCAGTTTTCACAAAATCTTGAATGAACTCCATTCCACACTGAATATATTAGTGCTGCGCGTCATCTACTGCTTTCTAAACAAAAAATATTTTGTTGTTCCAACTCCATGTGCGTTTTATAAACACAACAAGCTTAGTGTGGCTGAATGAATTCATGCATGTGGTGAAATCGGCTCCACAAACACATGAGGTATATTTTCATTGATGTAGTTGGGGATGGTCAACTTTAGTAGCTTAACAATGGGATTGCAAACGCGTCACTTAAGTTTTGTGGAACAACTGTGTTATTTATTGCTGAACAATCTCTCATTGTGAATTCGAGCGGTTTCGAACTGATGGTTGATAAAAGCGATGTGGGCTGTTTGATGGAACAAAGTAGACGATAATTTGTTCCGGGATGAGTTGTTATCACTTTGATATTAAGCTTTGTTCTCACAAATTGAGCACAAAAATTACTTTCCTCAATTGCATTGTGAAACAAAAGTGAGAGTTATGTATGATAAACTTGTCTATTGTTATTTTTGAGATTTTTTGGGTTAGACAATATCGGGATTTTTGAAAGGTGCACCATGTGTGATGAAAAAGTTTGAACTGCTTACTGGCTTTATCCCAGCTTCACAATAAATTGATTTAGGTTTTCCGTAATTTTCTAAAAGCGATGGTCTTCGTCAGTTCAGGTTCTCAAAACGCATTTTCTTTGAATCGATTTTCTACAACTCATTTGACACAAATTGTTCCAACTTTACTGCAGTAACAGATTTTACAGCTTTTCATTTAATTTCACTTTTATTGTTTATAAACTTAGCGAAAAGGAATGAACTATACGGTGTAAGACAGCATTGTGATGACCCCCTTGTTCACTCCTCGATTTTGTCTTTAGGTTACTCGTCCAAGTTCTGCTAATGCGAATGCAAGTACGTCACCTCGTTCCACCTGAGTTATCTCTTTTTCATTGTTTGTTTAAGAGTTAGTATGTAGAACTATTTGATTATTTCGAACTTGGTTTGATTTTCTAATTGCAACGTTTTGACGTAATCGGTCAAACTATTTGTACAGTCAAGCACCGTGTTGTTATAAAAATGTATCGAAAATTGAATATCGCATTTTTTGCTTTTCCCAAATAAGAAACCCATAATAATCCAATGCATTGCGTAGTATTTGTCAGTTAAACATTCAGTTGTTAGATTCAGTGTCATTTATTGTGCGAAAATCTACTGAACTATATCCTTTTGGGGGTTTAATGTCTTCGTCACTACCTGCTATTTGAATTTTGAAGGGTGTAGTTGTAATTTCGAATTGCTTCTTCGCTTTCGCAACGTGTGAGCATCAACACTATTGCTGCAATTAGTTCCTACGTATTTCCCTAATTTTTAATTAATATAGATGCCCAAGATTTCCTTACATTTCACCTATATATATCATAATGAGTAGTATGTGAATGACTGGAAAAAATTTCCCTGGAAGCACACGATCGGTTTCGCTGTTCTTGCCGCTCGTCAGGCATGCGTATCCGGTAATCTTTTGTCAGTTCATTCATATACTTGTATCCACGAAGTGTATTTTCGTCACAATAACCTTGAATTGAATCATGGAATCATTGAATCATAGCATTGATTCTTCAACGGACTGGCTCTGAAAGAGCTGTCTATCAAAAGGTCACCCGTTGTGGCAAACAAGGTTGTTGTGACAAATATATCTATCTATCTAGACTGAACGAAATGGTTTCTCTTATCAATGGTTTCCTTTCAATTTTAGTTTGGAAGTTAGGCGAATTTTCACATTTAGGTTTGAGGGTTTGCATAGATTTATCAATACGTCGCATTGCAAGCGTAATTTTCTTTCATCACAAACGTTAAATCTTTTTTACACGTGCTTTTTTCTCAGGGATAAATGAAATCTTAGACCCTCATAAGTTTGTGCTTGCGATATTTCCACCTGTACAGATTATTCGTGATGCAATTCATGGAAATATTGGGTTGGAACCCATACCGCAACTCATTGTGGATTCCCCGGAGTTTCAACGCCTACGGGATATACATCAACTTGGGTTATGTTATTTGTTTCATCTCAACTGTCAGCAGACTCGATTTGAGCATTGTATCGGTACATATCATTTGACGTGCCAACTTTTGTCATCATTTGAAACTGATTCGGCTTATTCTGGTCCAAAACTAACTTCCAGTGAAATTCTTGAATTGAAAATAGCTGCATTGTGTCACGACATTGGTAAGTATTTTCTTACTTACTTGGGATGGATATCCTGCGATTGGATGAACGATATAAAAGTCGCATCGTGATTAATGATGTGAGATAAGTGTTAGTGATTTGAACCAACCAGCATTCAGACTCTACCTTCAAGCCCAATTTCCAGTTCATTCAGTCAGCCGTATATTCCGAAAGCCTTAGATTCGGGTATTGAGGCCGGGCGAAAAAAGGAAATGACTGACTAACAGCTCTGAGGAGGACACCCGAAGAAACTTGAATTGGTAATTCTGTTCATCCACGGGGGATGAACTGGTGGTCCGCAGGTCGAACCCCGAGTGAGACGGTGAGTGTGCACGCACTCCTGGTGAGCTCTATACGCCTGTTGCTTCTCGAGCTTAAATTTGACTGGATTGGCTGAGGATTGTATTGCATGTATATGGACTATGAAAGTTGGTTGGTTCAAACTGATATAAAATTGTAGTAAGAATAAATCAAATTGTTCGAAAATATCCCAAAGAAATAGCAATGATTCCTTGTCTTTGATTGATTTTAATTGATTTGACTGACTATCCTTAGGACTTTACCTTCACGCACAATCCTCAGTTCATTGATTCAACCATACACTCGGAAGCAGTAGGCTCGAGTTTCGCTCTTATTAGAGCTCATTAGTAGTGCATATCCACCGTCCCGTCCGGAATTCGAACTCCCGACCCATCGCATGGAACGCGTATGTGTTACTACTGTGCCAACCAACTCATGCCATGGCTGAACCAAATTGCCAATTCATGTTTGTTCAGGTGTTGTCTTCAGTGATAGTCAGTCTGTTCATTTGGCCCGACAGCAACGAAGGGAGACACAGATGACAACCTGTTAACTCCAATCGAAAGCCTTCCACCAAGTCAGAACTTCCATGCAGATTACGGGCTGACTTGCCACACACCTACCAGGCTTGATTGATCTTCGCATTTGACTCACAATTACCTGTGAGTAGTGTGTGTGAGATAATTGATATTAATTGATTTGTATTTTTATACTAGAAACGTAAATAGTAAAGTGTGCGTTCATGCATACATTTGTGAACAGTGCAACATAGTGTACGGGAGTTCAGTTGAGGTAAAGCTCTGAAGAGGAAGATGTATTTAATCGAGGTCTCAGTGACCATAGAGTATGGCGAGTGTTACACGACGATACTGATTTCGAAGTTGGTTGAACAGCTTTCACACAACGTGCTTATATTTGCAACATATTTCCAAAGTCTTAGTTCACTGTAAACTATCACCCCCTGTTAATTGGGTACTTTGCGATTTTCTTGGATAGAAAATAATTCCAGAGAGTCCATACGTATGTAGTTCACAGTATGACAGAAATACTCAACTGCTTGTACGAGTTGACTGTCCATTTAGCTGTCCCATTTCGTAATGCGATTAAATCACATTAGCGGTAAAACGAAAAGCCAACCGAAGAGCGGCTAACTTGAGAGAGAGAGAACTGTTTGAACCACGAACGAAGAAGATAGTTGTGATCTCATTAACTCACTACTACTACTGCGACTACTACGTCAGTATCATGCTATTTTGGTAATTAAGTTATTTCCATATACGCTATACTTACCCATCATCAATAAAGACCTCCGGTATCTCCAAGAGGACCAACGAAATAACCAATTTTGTGCGTACGGAGTGTGATAAATTAATTCGCATTTCACTCACAGTTACTTGTGAGTAGTAGTGTAGAATGAATGTGATACATATAAGCTGATCATCAGTTCAGGCTCAACCTTCACGCACGATCCTCAGTTCATTCAATCAACCATACAATCTGGAGGCACTAAACTTCGGTTTACCTTTCATGAGAGATTATCATTATTGAATTTGAAGTCTGAAGGATGGTCAGTTCGGATTAATATACTGAATTAACCCTATTGCTTTCCTCTTCCATTCCATCACACCACTAAGATGGTGTTGATATCCGTTCTTCTTAAAGGAACGAATGATGATTCAGAGGGTTTCTTCTGGAAGTATTTCTTATTTGTAACCTGTTTGGCAATTTACTGGTACACAAAAAGACTGTATTCTTTTGACACCCAATATCCGGTACGTTTACAGGGGCAGACCAGTGCCTTTTCCACCATTAGTTCATATATGACACCAGAGCAACTGTTCCGATAGTTTATGTCATTTGCACATCTCATCCCTTGCACAATTCAGGTCATGGACCATTCTCGCACTTTTGGGAGTTTTTTGTTCACTCTGGGGGCGAAAGATTCGCTGAATATAAGGTAAGGGCGTGTTTATGTGTTATTCCGTCTACACCCCTATGATTTTGCATCAAAAAGTGTATGTGAAAATCAACAAACATCGATCGATTTCAGTCAAACGTTTTTTCTTAATTACAGCAGTTAATACAGCAGTTCATTTATCCTAGTTTCGCATCCAATTTTGAATAAAATTCTCGATCTGTAACTTGTGACGAACACAAAGAAATGTGGGATCCAAGAAGTGTGCGTAAACTAGTCATGATGGGTAATAATAAACATTACAAATGTATTTTTGATAACCACGTTCAGACACACTTGAAACAGAGGCAGTAAACGAGCGGCATAGGTCACTATCACATCGATCCCACCTCTCTTGTCCCCTAGGCAGCGCTTTGATTAACCCTTTCCTGAAAACCTGTGTACAATCTTGTAGTTCGCGAAAAATTAGAAAAAATTCAACAAACTTAACCAACATTCAAAGGCCTTGTGTGACAGGTATCCAGAAGCTCTCACACGGGTGCTTGGTTCACGCTCCCGCGTTGGATCTACACCCAACTGCCTTGTGGGTTAGATTTTTGAATTGAAGGCTCCGGTTAGGATTCCCGAAGAAAATCCCCTCCGTCGGTATGGGCCACTGCGAAGTATGCCATGCTTCAAAGTCTTAGGTACCCATTTGGAAAATCGTCTTTCTCATTTATTGACTTTCTCTTCTCACTCCGAAACCTTTGGGGATGTAACCGGCTTGCGCCACCCATGGGATATCACTTAGCGTTCAATTAATGAGGTCAACCACTCAGAGGCTATCTGATTTTGGAAACCAAAATCTCCTTTCCACTTAGCCGCGTTCAATGTCCGCTCACTGTACCAGATCGGTCAACAAAGTGCCTTGGCTAGAACCCTTGAGACCTTCCAATTAGATGTATGCTGTGTCACCGAGACACGCATACAAGACCCTACTTCAATCATCTCCATGCGTGCTCCAGATCCAACCTCATCCTCAAGCTTCACTCTCCTTGTGTCAGGCGATTCGGCATCCGAAGATCGCGGTGTTGGAATTGCGCTGAGTGTCAGGGCCGACGTTCACTTTTCGACTGGATCCCGGTTAACAGCCAACTTTGCGCTGTGCGTGTGGATAGTTCAGTACGGATCAACAGATGCAGAAGGAAGTGTCGATACTTACTCGTCGTATCCGTGTATGCACCGACTGATTGCAGTTTGCCAGAAATGAAGGATGAATTCTAGAAGGACCTCTTCCAACTGCTCCAAAGTGCTCGGTAAACGGACATTGTGGTAGTCCACCACTGAGCCACCACCGCCAATTTGCGCTGACCACGAAATGTTTCTGTCAAGCACCAAACTCTCGCACAAGAAACGACACCGGCTTACATGGAAACCGCCAACCGCTTCAAAACGCTGGACTCAAATTGACCATATCGCCGTCAACCACCGCTGGTGTGGATCGATTGAAAACTGCTGTTCCTACTGGTCAACAACCGTAGACACAGACCATGCTCTACTGGAGCGTGATTCTCCCTACACCTACTAAACGACCACCGGAAAACCATCAAAAACGGATGCCCACAATATAGTGTCAGTAATGGTTGCAAATCGACCTTCAAAGCTCAACTATCAGATAGCCTCTCACCTCAATCATCAGTCAGAGGACTCAGTGCACAGTGGACGCCTGTCAGGGAAGCGATCTAACGGTCGATTAAAACAACGGCAGATTCTGGTGCACGATCAAATAAAAAAACGATGGATCTCCCCGACCTCGGTTGCCTTGCTAGACGCACGCAAAGCCATTACTTAGGATTCAAAATACGACAAAGTACACAAATCCCCTAAACGCCAGCTCATCAAGAATCTGAGGCAGTAGTGAGTGGGGAAGTGTAGAGATGGAGAAGGCTGCGGTTGTTCGTAACATTCGCAATCTTTTCCGTTTAATTAGGAGTACAGGACCAAGAAAAGTCGGCGTTAGGGAGGTAATTAAGGAGTGTGAAGGCACATTGATTTATATTCAGTAACGCCGTCTTAAACGCTGGGCAGAATATTTTAAGACAGTTGAGCTTACCCTCGTCGACACAAGACCTCTCCCTACCCGCTTCAACTATGCAAATACTGCCAGCTGACATCGATCCTCCATTTTAGATGGAGGTCACCCGAGAAATAAATTATCTCAAAACGTGTGAAGCTTCCTGCCCCGACGGACTGCCCCCATCCATTTTTAAGGATAGAGGTCCAACCTTGGTTTTGGAGTTAACGAAACTCCTTTATACTACTAGCCGAAGCCGAGTCCGAGCTTAGGGCACTTTTCACCCGAGTTCAATACAGAAAGTGGTGTTCGACAGGATTGTCCTCTCTCCGTTTCCGTTTAACTTCGTGATAGATTTAATTCTTGAAACAGTCCGAACCTCTTTCGAGGATAGCGGTATCGATTTACTCCCAGGTGGTGGAGAGTCTGATCTAGGGTATGCAGATGACATTGTGCAACTAAGTGAAGATCCAGGTAAGTTGCAAGTTTTTCTGGGTAGCTTCAGCATCAGCGTAGCCATGTTCAATATGTGTTTTGCACCTTCAAAGTGTAAGATGGTCTTACAAGACTGGGTTGATCCAGCCCCCAACCTCACCCTGACTGGGGAAGTAATAGAGCAAGTGGACACGTTTTGTTATTCGGACAGCTAAATCTCACCTGGCGGACGCATCATTGATGAAGTATCGGCGCGCATACAAAAGGCTCGGTTGGAATTTGTCAACTTGAGACATTTGTGGCGCCACCGCGATATCCGACTGTCCGTGAAGAATCTAGTGTATGCTGCAGCAGTTCTGCCAGTGCTGCTCTACGGTGTACAGTCTTGGCCACTACGGGAACAGGATAAAAATCGATTGTCGGTGTTCGAACACCGCTCTTTATGTCGCATTGCACGAATCTGGTGGGGTAACCGGACGAGCAAATTTGAGGTTAGGCGTAGAAATTTATGTAGTCGTGGTCGTCCACTGGAGCAAGTAATCGGCCTTCGTATATAACGTTGGTTGGGGCATGTGTTACGCATGTTACCAAGTAGGTTGCCTCGACGAGCATGTTTGCCGAGGCAGTTAGTGGGTAGAAAAAGGTCAAGGGCGGTCAAACGAGGACGTGGCATGAGGGCATGAAAACCCCAACCAGGAAACTGGGTAACATAGGTCCTGTTAGGCTCCCTAGCTGGGGACCTCGAGATCATGGTCACCGATGTTTAGAGACACTGAGCGATATGACTGGGTGCCGTAAAAAGTGGCGCTCATGCATCTACTCATTATTCTTTTAACACCTTTCGATACGAATTCTCTATCATCCGCTTGAGTTTGTTCTCAACATTTCAATTTTCGACCTCTGCTCTGCTATTCAAATGGGCAGCCAAAAGACAGCAGCCAAAACCGTCGCACGAAAGTACATGATTAAAAGTTGTAAAAACTGAAAACGTGTCCCACAAGGTTTCGTGCTTTCTTCTGTTCTTTTTCTTCTTTTCATCGACAACGTTTCATTCCAGACTCGTAATCGTATCCATGCTTTTACAGATTTTGCCACCTTACATTCCTTTCTTTCGCTTGGAAATCTTCATGATTCCTTCAGCACCAATACCCACGATTGATTGTCAATGTGCGCTTAGCTGAATTCGTCTCTCACTCAGAATACAGTTGTTTTTGATGCCCCCGAAACCTCTTGTACTCCGCAGATGGGTTCCCTATGCTACCAATGTCCATTTTAATTCTCATTTACTAGCTAACCATCTTCCATAGTTCTGCTCAGTCTAAATTTTCGCCCTTCCCTGTCTTGTTCTAGCCGTATTCCTCAAAGGTGAATCAGGTATACCCAGGAAGATGTTTCATCCCATCCACGCGAAGCGGGTTTTCATTTCTTTCCCACTTTTCGTCTTTTCCAAGGCTCAAATATGTTTCATTCGGAACTGTTGTAGCGATTTCTAGGAGTAGTTAGCACCTCTTTTTCTCTCCATTACTCTTGAACCGATTTAACTGTAATCCATTCGCCTCGTTACTGTTCTCTCCCTCCAATATCTACTCAGCAACCACTTACTCATCTTCTGGGAATTACATGCCCGTCTGTTTAATACCTTTAACACCACAGACCTCGCTGTTTGAATCCTACCGATGTCACTTTTTGTCCAAGAAGTCCAGTTCGTTTCATACCCTTACCGCTTTACATACCTGTGATAGAATTTACGTTGGTAAAACATCAAAAGTGCATCAATGTTCATCGTTTGGATTTGTGAAGGCATCGAAACATCTGTGCTTTGTTTGTGTTCTTAAAAATTATCGGTATTATCACCATCCACAACCGTCAGTCCTAACAAATGTCTCGTTTGAATTTAGTTTATATCTGTTGCTCGGACACCCTTCATCACGATATGTAATAAAATGTTTTTTTGTCCGGACTTCTCTTTCGGGTCAGCGTCATTAGTGTTATATGTTCGGCCTCATAGAAACGTGTCGGAAACGGTCATTCCGTTGATTGGGAACTATGTTCCTATTCGGTTAATCTAATTCCTTGCCGAAATAAACTCAAACAAGGTTATAAACATGCACGTTGACCTTAGTGTTTACGGTCGGTCCTAAATGATCTCATATCCATTTACGTTTTCTGCAATTTGTAATCATTTTTTCATGTTTTCGAATATTGGTTCTTCTGGCATGATTGTTTGGATCCTGTAGGGGTCAACAGTTTCATCAAGAGTTACCTGTTCTTTGTAACACACACGATGTGAGGACAAACTATTGGAGAGAGTGGGGCTGAATAACACAAAAAACATAGAAGTATGAGTGAACTGGATTCTATGCCAAGGCTTGAAAGCACAGATCGTTCACTACTTTCGCTCTAATCTGTATGTGCTCCGGTGCACAAATTAGCAGGTAAAGAATGAGAAACACTGTTTTACGGATTATCGCGGAATGGTGCGTTGAAATTTAGAGTGCACAAACCCTGCAGATGGAGGGACTGGTTGAGAATTCCACAAGGCACCAGAAAGAGAAAGAAGACAGATCCATAAAATCATGCATTTCCACGGTTCAAACGTTGATTTCTAATAATCGCTTTTAATTTACAGCACGAAAAACTCAGTTTTGTCATTTTGCGAAGAATCATAAACAACAATGAAGTTTTGAGAAAAAAACTAGACGAAGAACATGTCAATTTGGATGTTGTGAAAAATTTGATTTTGGGCCTTCCCACTCTGGTACGTTTCGAGCTGCTTAGTGTCCAATTTTCTATATCATAATATAAGTTCAAAAAGTGTATTGTCAATTAAAATTGATCTTCAGTCGTTATAAATACTGTTTGCTAAATTATTTGTTTTCGTCATTCAAAGTTCATGCATTTCGATTTTATGGTATTATACTTAAACTACAAAAATCTTTGTATTGCCGACTTGTTCATACTGCATAATTTCACTGATCTCTAGGTGCCGTTGGTTCCATAGACATTGTTAAGCCCCTTCAGTAAATAGACACCTACAAGTAATTATTTTTATGATCAATCAGCGATTCCGATTATCCTGTCAATTTGAGAACGATTCATAGTCTAGAATAACGAAACATTATGCACCTAAATAGATACAGAACGATGCGTTTGTCAGACATTGTTTATGTTTTATGGTGCTCGACTCACCAGAGCACTTCCCTTTTGCTTATATATGCATCTCCCGCTTGGGAACAAGCATGGTGCCTTCGGGATAACGCTGGACTTGGTAAGAGGGGGCACAGTTTATAGGGATTAACGAGAACTAGAAAAAATGTCTAGATGTAGCCTCAATGTGCTTTAGAAGCTTTGTTTTGTAAACAGACTGTCCCCTTATTATGCAATATATGAAGGAGGAACTCAAGAAGATGATCAGGACATATGAATGTGACTTCCCCTGAAGTGTATCAGGTTTAGGACAAAAGAAGGCGTAGGGGATTCAATATTCATGCGAAAGCGGACGATGCGACGACTGTTAATCAGTTTACTTCGTGCTGTTTTCATTCAGGGTTAAGTTTACGTATTTACACACCATACATCATGTGTTCCTTATCAAGGATCCATTCATCTCATCCTTGTTTAAAACTGAGTTATTGTTTTCATTAAAAGCAAAATGTTTATCATTGATCTGATCACTTTGTCCCCTTGCGAATAATCCGGATTCGTTGTATTGTTTTGCAGAATAACTCTGAAACAAAGTGCTTTTTTTACGAGGTAAATTATCATTTTGTGGTGTTTTTTGCACCTGTCTTGTCATGACCGTTTGTTGATTGTCCAGCCATTAAACATATCCATTATCAGTTTGATTTCACCGAAGTAGATTGCATAGCTACCTTTCTTGATGAGAATTTCCGTGGAAGATCTCTTCTGAAGCTTAACGGAATGATGCGTGGACGTTTCACCATTAGACCATCTTTTGGACGATTATCAACAATGTTATCCATTCGGCATAGAAAGAAACTGAAGAAATATGAAACAGAGACACACCGAATTCGCTACTCGGTCGATGGAGGGGGCATGACCGTTCATTACTACTTTGCTTACCCTTATATGAAACGAATTCCAAATGACAGTGTTCTCTGTTTCATGATACCCTTCTATTAGAACAATGAATGAAATCCACCGGGGAAGCGAATCTGAATCTAATTGTGCGCTTTTATAGAACTGGATCAGGGATTTGCGAATGCCATCCGAGAATGGGCATTTGGACTGCCAACCATTCTATTGAAACACGCTCAGAGGAAGAGCAGACTGATCTGATCCATTTCAAACGCCACTTTTGTTTGAAATAATCATATCAGATTCTGTAGACAGTATAAATATCATTCGTATTGTTTGTGGGAAAGCACTTCTCATTTGAAAATTTGGCTTACGGTGGGATGGCTCTATTTTACACCATCTTTTCAAGGGCCCAGAATCTTCTCTCAGTCTTTCTATCCTGGTTGGGAGAATCAAGAATGTCTCTAGAAAACAGTCAAACCCTTTTGAGCAAACTCTGACTGTTTGTAATGTGTCATCTGCCGTAATTCGATATCAGAGCCCTTAACCCGATACCGATACTCCCAAATACTCTGGTAACGTCAACCTCGTGACCTGTGCAAATCAAGTCATCATCATCATCGTACAGCGAACTTCACTGATCGCTGCCAAACTCGCAACGCATACAAGGTTAGTGGTAAAATTTAAGGTGGACCTATTTTGAGGGAGGGAGAAGAAGGTGAACCACTATGGTTAACACACAATACGCAATCGAACTCTGCATATATGCCGTTTCAACACTCCGACATGATAAGAAATGACAACAAGAGCGCCACTGCTGCTAGTTCGCTGCCATATCCTTCAGTGTCTCCAACCAACCAGTTGTAGAGTCTTTTGGACCCCAACCTGGAAGGCGCGAGACACCTACTCTACCTAATGGCTCCGTGCATTTCTTCATGCCTCGTCTCCACGTCATCTGTTGATCTCCACGTGGTTTTCTCCAGCCCGGATTAGCTACAGCGAATTAAGCGCGATACGGCAGACAATGGTTGGGCATACGCAATATGTGCCCTAGCCAGCGAAGTCTACTAATCTGAAATCGGTGTGTTAGCAGGTTTATACCTGATGGACTCCCAAATCAAGTACCGGTTGAATATCCGTCACTTGCTTTGCACGTCATCACACGATTTATCATTGTGTATCTTTAGTGTGCACATCAAAGCGGTTATATACTAAGCTTTTGGTCCTTCACCCGCGTCCTAATAATTTTTACTAGTTAATTCTTTAACCGAACGCTATCCATCTCTTAGTTATACACGTTTCGCGAGTGAAAAAACGCGTGAGCCAAAACCATCTGACATAACTGGTGTCGAGTCTCTTCTATCGAGTAGAAGAAGGAGTTTTACCGTACCGTAAACAGATGTACAAATCATACAATGAGGCAGCTACTAGTCCCAACTACCACATTTTTCTTCGTTCTATCTTACGAGACAGAAGTGTTGTAGACGCACGAAAAAATCTCCCAAATGGTTGTTAGCAGAAGGGAAGCGGGTTTAAGAAACATGTGTCACTTGTTTGCCGTTAGCAGTAGGACATATGATATAGTAACGCGATATGGATAGTGAGATCTTTTTTCTTCTCGAGTTGATTTACGCAACTTCAAGTGTTTTCTTCATAAAAGTAGCTCAGTTTCCCGAGATAGGTAAGCTCCATGAATTCTCTCACTCTTGAATTTCTTACACTGGTTGCATTTGTGTATCGATTTCATTACTTTAATTATGGACATCCTATTGATGCATATATTAGTTCAGTATAATATATTTTGGAAGAAGGATTTTTCACAGATGAACAGAAAACAGCCAGTACGCGGTCGAACAACACTGTATGATCCTAACAGATCATCACATGATGCTTAACGGTCTCTTAGATCTTTATGATCAAAACGGTACTTTTAAAGTTCACTCAAGGTTCCTAAGCGATTACCGGAGGCTCTTAAACGATTGTCACAGACTCGTAATCGATAGAAACACACCAAAGGATCAGTTTCGAACAGCCTTCGGTTCGATAGTTTTAAATGGGTTAGTTTAAATGTATTTACCTAATGGATTCTCGATTAGAGATCTTTTCAGTTGGTGTAGCACAACATTTAATTCCTTGATAGGTTCCTCCTTTAAGTTGTTTATTCAAATCCACAAAACTGTAGCAAGCCTTTCCCGAGATTAATTTCAAAAGAAAAGATCATATTGCAATACTGCACGATTTATGTCCAGGGCGATTTCGCTGCATCTCAACATGGTGAATACTGCAAAAAATCGTGCAGTATTGCAATATGGTCTTGTCTTTTAAAATCAACAAAAATAAGGTTCATTGACCGATATAATAAATGCAATTTACATGAAACATCGGTGTGTGTGTGTGTGTATGTGGCTATGCACAACCTTCTTCCCGTCACGAACATCAGATTCTCTCAAATGAAGAAAATGGATTGGATGTGGACAAATTGGACTATCTTCTGCGTGACAGTCATTATTCCGGAATTGACCGCGGATTGTCCCTTGTCAAACTGATCCGCCTGATCCAATCGATCCGACCCGCGGCCTATTTGGATGAACACATGCAAGAAGATCAGCCACTGTCCAATATCAACCCGAAATGGCATTTGTCCATCCCGGAATCCGAATTAGAAAACGTACTGAGTATTTTCAATTTGCGTAACTTGCTTCATCGACGAATATATCAGCACAACTCGGTCACAGCGCTGAATGTGAGTTTCATTCCCCAGGTCTAGTTATAAATCGGTTTAGCACACTGTAAAGTACATAGCCTGTTTTCGCATTTGTTATGCGATGATAATTGCGATGATGATTATGATAAATTAGTGTTTGAATGCAATCTTAGTCCTCACAATCTGCATACTGTTTGAGTGGTTTAACTCACCAATCCCACCGAATCCCTGAGAGCATGAAACTCCGAACAGTGGGATACAACTCCTTAGTTTCTCTTAGTGAACTTACTTTCAATCCATTTACTCCTGGTGATTATTGTATTACATACAACCGTCATGTATTGCAACGTTCATCAAACCCGTTTTCAATAACCAATACATATAAATTGGATGTGTTGGTTCAGTAATAAATATTGTGAAATCGTGTTTAACCCATGTTCCAGAACCGAATTAACCAATTCTATGATTTTTCTAAATCGCTGCTTAACTGTATTTAAATGAGAGACTTCAGTGAAATACCTGATCCGTTGCTTAGATTTTTGAAGTAGCCTTTTTTTCTATCGAGCTAGATGTGATAACAACGTACTTTCGACCTGTTTATCCTCTCGGGGTAGAAATCCACTAAATCGTCACTACTCAAACATGCACTTCATGCCCATTCTGCGTATTCGTACTGCACCTGCAAATTACGTATCATCACGAATTTCATTTGAACACTGTTTTGAGGTATTTCTACTGGATCAGGCTAAAGAGCCATATGAATAGGCCAAAGCACAGTACGGAATGTTTAAAGGATGATACCACGAGATTAAAGATTCGTATCGTACACCTTCACTTAACATTCGAGGTAAAAAACAAGCGATAGAACTCAATTTTTAAAACAACAGTCTACTAATTTCAGAAACCAATTTATTGTATATAGCATCGGAAAAAAGCGTCAAGTTATTTGTTGGGAAAGAAAATCTACACTTGTTTCATTTTCTTTTGGGTTTTATAAGCTGTGTGAGCTGATCGATCAACCTGAGCTTTTCACCCGTAAAATAATATAGCATGTAAGCTTACCATCAACTTGACCAGTAGGCAGTAGATCACAGTGTTTTATTCAATGTCATACACATAGCATATCAACCACAGCCTGTCTTTGGAAACTCATTGTGAGTAGCAAGTCGCACTCATCTCAGACTTTGATAGTGTCACAAATCAGCCCAAAACATTCCGAACCTGGAACTGGGGGATTGTGGAAATTAAAATGAGAAAATCCTGTTTCAGTATCTTTCCAGCATCTCCAAAGTCTTTCGATTTCGTTCTCACTTTGTTTTCCATCACATCCAATTTTCTTGCAATTCCACCATTAATTTGAACGTGTCTGTTTCCCCTCTTGCACCTGTCCTCACACGACACAGCTCATGCTTTTGGATGCACTAAACACTTTGGAACACGTCACAAACTGGCGCGAGTTGAGCTTGAAAGCACAAAATGCTGCAAATGAACACGAGCTTGATCAGTTCCTTCAACTAACTGACGGTCTGTTGTGGAATATGTATCACAAACGAATTCGTCTACCCATCAGTCCCGCGGATACATTCCGTCGCGAATTGGATAAGGCATCCGGAATAATTCACAAAATGCTGACGCTGGATCTGTATAAATTCGTCGATTGTTTGTATGTGGTCCAAATGAACGATTCGATGGATGAATCCACTGTACCCTATCCACGTAATCTGTATATAAACGGTACCATTGTGCCTCGAAATCGGGTGTTTTGCGATCCGGTGAGTTCTGTGTGCGTGTTTGTATGTATGTAGTTCTTGATATTCATTCGTGTCGTACCTTCTTCATCCGACCATTCAACCTCCCTCAGACATGCTTCTGTTTTTATAAATTTATCAAGTAAAACTGTTGAGAAAATCAAATTGGGTCGGGAGATTTTTGGTTGGTGACCTTTAAATCCAAGGGTTTCATTCCCATCGAGCACATGGAATACTTGCAGTGTTCAAATCATGCATCACGGTCACTCGACACGGAATGAAAATTCCACTCCCGATGAATTGGACAAATTCGGTTGTGTGCGGTCGTGCGAAAGTGTGATGATTTCAACAACCCTTGGCGAGCGCTGAACAAGAAGGAGTGCGAAGAGTTATTGATAGGACAAATTCAGTTGAATGCCTAATGTGAGTCTATTCTATAGTTTCGAATTTGGACACTTGGGTGTTCTCTAGCTCGCATGAATTTATTCTCAGGCCTCTTTGACTCAATGATAAATACCTGAGTCAAACCTTGGATGTTTTGGTTGAACGACTTAAAGCTCGATCAGGTTATGTGTATTCCATTGTCCGGGATTTGAAGATGAGACACCAGAGAGTAAACTGTGTAGACTGATTTGAAATTATCACCCAGTTTGCGGTTGTTTGATCAAACAAATACATCAATGAGTGTGCTAATCGCCAGAACCCCCCCCCCCC